ATAATGTTAATATTACAAATAATATTACAATGATGATAATAATTATAAATATTTTTCATAATTCAAATATCGTATATAAAACGTTGCATAATAATGTTAATATTTAAATAATATTACAATGATTTTAATAATATATAAATTGCAATGATAATTTGTTTAGACTTTGGAGATATCACTGACAGCTGATCCGGTTAAGGAAGTGGAAAGTTCATCCGATCACGATTCCCCGGCTGGCAATACTTCGGGAAGTAGCGAGTCGAAAAATAACGAATCGAACCAATCGCTCAAAATTAAGACTGGTTTACAGAAGAGAGCCGCCGGTTTTCAAGCGACCTTAGTTTGCTTAACAGTTACTACTAGCGGGGAGCAAGCTGAAAATATAACAGCTCTCAGTTTGAATTCTTCGTACGGTTTGTAAGTATTTAAAGATATAATCATTCGCATATAATATTTATCGATTTGAAAAGTATTTTCAAAGGAAATTTCTGTTTGTTATTTTTTACTTAGAATGGCTTACGGGAACGAGTCTGGTATAGTAATAATAGACATTGTCCAGAAGATATCTTTGATCGTGTTGAACACCAGCGACATCGGCGGTAATGTGGATCTGTGTCAACGAGTGCTACGCAGTCCGAAACGTCAGGATGAATTGAAACGGGAGAACGAAGACAAAGCGAGGAGTCCTAGTACAGATCAGGTAAAATGTACTTCTTTCTTAGACAAAATTGTTTTAAATATTTTAATCGTCCCCCTTTCACATTCTCCTTAACCTTATCCGGCGAAAACATTTTGAAAATTTATAATTATTATGCATTTCGCTTTTTCTCTAGATACCAAAAATTATTATAACAATCTCTATTATTTGCATGATTGTAAAGAAAATTACTAATGATTTGAATGTTCGATTTATCATTTATAAAATTTTTGTAATTACAAATTTTCTTTCTTTTGTAAATATTGAAAACTTCAGTTCTCAAAATACTCTATCGTAACACTTCAGCTTTGATACGAGGTACTGTTAAAAGTAGAACTTATACGAATAGTTTTAGATAATACGATACAACGTTTCCAAGAACAGTTTTATAATTGACGTTGTTTGAAAATTCGATAATCGATGGTGTTTTCATTGAGTTTCTCTAGGACCGATTCCTAGAAAATGAAGACGATATAATATCAAAAAAAGAATAATATTCTTTGATTATTTATCTAATATCAAAAGTTAATCTATTTATTTATAATAATATCGTTTTACATAATTTATAAGATGGAATTGAATAATAAATAAAACGACTTTTGGTAAAAATGATAATTAACAATAACACCAAACACCTAACATATATTTGATAAGCCGAATAATTAACTAATTCAATCGAATAAAAATAACGTAGACGGTATCGGAAATGATTAAATCCCTATTAATATACATCAACGTTTAAAACATATAATTGTAAAATCCATCATTTATATAAACTTAAAAATATCGACTA